TTCTTCATTTATTCTATTCAATTGATCATTATTCTATTCTATCCATTACATTGTTTTATTCTATTCCATTCTTCATTCTATTCTATTCTATTCCATTTTTCATTCTCTATTCCATTCCATTCTTCATTACTCTATTCTATCCTATCAAATCCATTCTTCATTGTTCTATTCCATTCCATTCTTCATTCTATTCTATTCCATTTTTCATTCTTCTATTCTATTCCATTCTTCATTTATTCTATTCAATTGATCATTATTCTATTCTATCCATTACATTGTTTTATTCTATTCCATTCTTCATTCTATTCTATTCTATTCCATTTTTCATTCTTCTATTCATTTCCATTACATTCTTCATTATTCTATTCTATTTTCTATTCAATTCCATTCTTCATTCTAATCTATTCCATCCATTATTCTATCTTCTATTCCATTCCATTTTTCATTCTTCATTATTATTCATTATTCTATTGTATTCTATTTTCTATTCCATTCCATTCCATTCCAATCTTCATTCTATTCTATTCCATTTTTCATTCTTCTATTCCATTCCATTCTTCATTCTATTTCTATTCCATTTTTCATTCTTCTATTCTATTCTATTCCATTCTTCATTCTATTCCATTGATCATTATTCTATTCAATCCATTCCATTCTTCATTGTTTTATTCTATTCTATTCTTCATTCTATTCTATTCTATTCCATTTTTCATTCTTCTATTCATTTCCATTCCATTCTTCATTATTCTATTCTATTTTCTATTCCATTCCATTCTTCATTCTAATCTATTCCATCCATTATTCTATTCTATTCCATTCCATTTTTCATTCTTCATTATTATTCATTATTCTATTCTATTTTCTATTCCATTCCATTCCAATCTTCATTCTATTCTATTCCATTTTTCATTCTTCTAGTCCATTCCATTCCATTCTTCATTCTATTTCTATTTCATTTTTCATTATTCTATTCTATTCTATTCCATTCTTCATTCTATTCCATTGATCATTATTCTATTCCATCCATTCCATTCTTCATTGTTTTATTCTATTCCGTTCTTCATTCTATTCTATTCCATTTTTCATTCTTCTATTCATTTCCATTCCATTCTTCATTATTCTATTCTATTCTATTTTCTATTCCATTCCATTCTTCATTCTAATTTATTCCATTCCATTTTTCATTATCCTATTCTATTCTATCTTCCATTCCATTTTTCATTCTTCATTATTATTCATTCTTCATTATTCTATTTTCTATTCCGTTCCATTCCAATCTTCATTCTATTCCATTCCATTTTTCATTCTGCATTATTATTCATTCTTCTCTTCCATTCCATTCCCTGGACCTCTTTGAGGCACTGCAGCCCTCTAGTGACAATTCTATACTACCCTGCACCTGGCGTTCTTCAAGTCCTACCAGATCTGCGGGATTCTGCTCTGGAGAGGACCTTTGGCAGCAGGGCCAACACAGTGGCCCAAACTATGTGCAGATGTTCAACACTCTGGGCAGAAAACAGGAACGAGCCAAAGAGGGGGGGGGGAGTGAATTTTAAAAATTAGGCTACGCGCTTCAGCCCAGAAGACCGAATCTGGTACCGCTGTCTCCGTTTAATTTGTTGCCTTGTTTTTTTCCTCCCCTCCCTGCAAAAAAAGAGAAAAACTCAAACAAAACACTTGGCCCGAATCTCAAAATCCTTTCTTTGCTGAACAGTTCAACGCTGCTGTGCATTGAACTCTATTTTTTTTTTTTGCTAAGCTTTCCTTGCTCACCATGGCAGCCAAGAATGGCTGTTGCCACGCAACACAGGAACACTAACACAACTCGGATCCCAAGGAAGGATGTGCAAAAATCCAGGGGCTTTTTCTGGCCTTTTTTTGCACATTGGACGGTTCTGGTGTCGCCACAGCAAACGTTTGCAATTATATGGTGGCGGGGGGGGGGAACTGTCTCCACCGACTGCATCAGGTTTTTTCCTACCAGGTGTGAGACGCACACCTGGACTGTTGCACCGGCAGAAGACTCAAGGCGTGCGGAGCGTGGATTTCTGCAGAAAATTGGGAGGGCTGCACAGGCTGAGCCTTCCCAAGGATGCCTCTTCCGAAGAAAAGAAAAGTGAAAAAAACGAGGAAGCAAAAACCATCCACTCTAGGTAAAATTCGGTGCAAAGAATCTCAGGTGTGCAGGTTTTCCCCTTCGCGCTCCTTCCGTGGAAAGAATTATAACAAGAATACAAGGCAAACTTTCGCACAGAGTGGGAGGAAATTAAATCAGAACTGATTTACAGTATTTTTCGGGCTATAATGTTGCAGTAGGCTTCACACTTAATGTCCAAATCTCACTTTACGGCTGCTTTAATAAGATGCACCGGTGTATATGATGCGCCAAGATTTTGAAAAGGTAATTTTTTTTTTACAAAAAACGTTTTTCCCCTCCCCGGTGCCCAGGAGCGCTCTGCAGGCCTCCGAAACACTATGCACGCCCTATTTTTTTGAGAAAAGGGGCCACACAGAGAGTTTGAGAAACGTACAAAGTGCTCCTGGGGGCCTGGAAGGGCAAAAATGCGACACGGGGGGCGGGCATTTGGGAGGTGAAAAATGGGCCCATTTTGCGCAAAAACGGTGTGTGCAGAGGTTGTGGGAGGCCTGTAGAGGGCTCCTAGGGGCTGGGGAGGGCAAAAAAACAGCCTGTTTTTCGTGAAAACAGACCCGGGTTTTTTTTTGCAAAAAAACGGGGTGTACAGGGAGTTTGGAAGGCTTGAAGAATGTTCCTGGGGGCTTGGGAGGGCAAAAACAGCCCCGTTTTTGTGAAACAGAAAACATTGCCCCCCCCAACAAATCTGCATTCTCATTTTACCCACCTCGGAAGGATGGAAGGATGGGTCAACCTTGAGCCTGGTGAGATTCGAACTGCCGAATTTCAGGCAGCCTGAGTCTCACCAGGCTGAAGGTTGACTCAGAAGAAGTAGCCTGCAGTACTGCACTCTAACCACTGCACCACCACAGCTTTAGCTTCTTTGGGGTTTTTTTTTGCCTTCTCTGGAGGCATGGAGATGGAGGGGGGGTATATCTAATGATTCTTCCTAACACTGGTATTTCCGGGTCTTGTTGTTATGATGCTATGATTCTACTAAGTGCCTTCCTTGGCCTTTGTAAGGCTTCTAAAGTTGACTTCAACTAAACACCAAGCATAAGGGACCTCAATATTTTCCATTTCGAGCAAGAAGATAAGGATATGTTAAGCATATTGACATGTAGCGGAAATACACCAATGAGAGGAAGAATCATTAGATATACCCCCCTACCTCTATTTCCATGCCTCCAGAGAAGGCAAAAAAAAACCCCAAAGAAGCTAAAGCTGTGGTGGTGCAGTGGTTAGAGTGCAGTACTGCAGGCTACTTCTTCTGAGTCAACCTTCAGCCTGGTGAGACTCAGGCTGCCTGAAATTCGGCAGTTCGAATCTCACCAGGCTCAAGGTT